TTGCATGTCATGTATATCTAGTTTCCATTATTTATAATATCTATAAAGTGTATTGATATTTAGCGTGCGTTAATCAGTTTGTAAGTATTTTCTTAAATGCATAAAAAAAAAATGTTTTGACTTTCTGGCCGTAGGTTGTATTATCTCGTTTTCTAGTTCACTTGAAGACGGTAAATTAAACCGATTGTCCAGTGTTAGTTGGGCCGGACTGTCTGTTAAGCAGGGTTATAATGCCTGCAAATAGATAGTACCGCGAGCTAATATCTGAAAGCCTGGAACCATGCTCTCGTCTACCAAAGAGGATTATCGATATTCAATATATATTGAAGTGATGTTAATACGAAATATTTTACACCGGGGCTAATGCTCGAATCTTGCATGTAAAATTACCAATATTAGTATTTTTAACAAAAGTGTAAATTAACAGTGTGATGTATTTTTACAAGAAATGTAAATTAACATTGTGATGTATTTTTACAAGAAATGTAAATTAACAGATATGTCCTTCTACAGTAAATTGTTAAATAACTAATGGTGTAATTTTACCTATGATTTAGGGGCAACTTTTGCTGCCCGTAATTTTAGGGTAAAATAACCAAAATATTTCTAACAGTGTATACATAAACAACATTTTACTTACCAGATAAAAATACAGTCTTGTATAATGATAGACTGAGTTTATATCTATCTATATATATATAAACTACAGTATATCTATATACACTGTAAATGTCATGTTTATAAAAACGTGTACCATTAGATTGATTTTCTAGAAATAAACCAACAAGGAAGACTATATAATTTTACTTATAGATTATTATACTATAAAGACCCGATATCTCAGAACAAAGAATAGACATTCATAACAGTAAAACGTTGTATTACCAGAAAGCATGTTAGTCGAAAAATGATTAAAATCGATCAATTCTGACGTATTTAATGCCATTTTATTTTCTCAAAACAAATGTAACAAACATTGTCAGCTCATTATGGTGGACTTTAAGAACTAAACGACAAACAAACTACCCACTGGGTGTTCAGCCGAATATTATATTAATGTTGTCCTTAATCTAAGTTAAACGAATTGGGAAAATTAAGTACTTTAGTAGATTACATTAAATTATTCGTAAAACATGGATCGGGAATTGTGATAGCGTAGCTGGAGCTTTTAAGTTTTATATATTGATACTGCCCGGCTGAAAGGCCATTGCCTGATATCAATGCCATTAAGTACCTTGAAACTCTTTATATCAGGTTATAGATGAAATTTAAAGGTAAAACGTTATAAACGATCGTCTAGCTAGTTACAGACAGATAGAGATTCAGTACTTACATATCTATACAACATTCCACAACATTCACTGTGAACATTTTACACCTCATTAGATAAAACTTTTATTCACAAAATTTTAGCTAATATTTTATCAGGACTGTAAAAGTAAGCTGTATGAGGAAGTCCTGACCAGGGACAGAGAGAGATAGAGAGAGAGAGGGAGGGGGTCTGTCATTGAGTCAAGTGGTGTGCTTTCGATTCCCCGTTTGTAAGTGACAAGAAGTAAGTTCGCCTGTCCAACCCCTGCGTTTTCTCTGGGTTCTCCAATTACCTCTCACTGCTAAGGACCCCTACGCGCATATGTTAGTCCCGAAATTAGCTAGTTTGTGTCGAATGGACGTTAAACCCTATTTCTCTCTATCTCTGTGCCTTGTTTTTTTTTCTAAATCAGATAATTTTACAACTTTAATCCCCATCTCAAAGAACTATCCTATTAATGTGTAAAACTTACCACACTCATTCTAGGGTCATTCCATACCAACTGGGTCAATGGTGGGAACATGACCCCCTCCAAAAAAATTAGAAAAAATATATGTTATAGTATATGGCCTTAAACTAAGAAATCCAACATTTTACCTCTCTAGGTTGGAAACTCGCTGAGATGTGGCCATTTGAAATTAGGGTACTGAAACGGATCATAAATTCGGTAATTTTTTTCAGGTTTTCGGATGCTTTAAAATCACATTTCAAATAGGAGTAGAACTCTCTAACTTTGTAATCTAAGACAACTTTTGGAGTAGATTATGAATTTAGCATCACACTCATTATCCAATACCTACTGTTCGCGCCACCAGGTGGCAAAATGTGAAACAAATGAACTATTAACTTTTATTTTCAGGATTTCCACAGCCTCTGGCAAAATCACTATTGTATACACAAATTTCAAAATTGGCATAGTTAATGTCAGTTTGTCTTTTATCAATTTACAAAAGATTCTAAGTCGATGAGATATATACTTTCCCAAATATTCAGTCTCGAAGTTCAATGCACACTGAAAACGTACAAAATATACCCATTTTCACCTTCAATTTTGGCCGTGTGGGACAGGGGTTAAAATTATGAAAAAGTTTGATAATGAAACCTCAATTACCCCTACTATAAGTATTAAAGTCCATCTTGTGTATTTGATAGCTTATATACATATATTTAATTGGCACTTTAAATCTGTACGGTGATGAAGTTTTATTGGCTAGGTTATCAAAATTGTTGACTTTTCACATTGATTTCAAAATAACTTCTAAATGATCTACACTCCTCAAATATGCCTGTTTAAAATGACCTTTGGCGTAGATTACAAATTTGGGTGTACACTGTATTGTTCTAATTTTATTTTGCGTCCAAAATGAGAACAAAATGGTTAATACGCTTGACGAATTGGAATAATGGGTTTTGATAATCGGATTAAAATGATTTCTGAAAGACTTAGACCCCTCATATTTGTCATTTTAGATCAACTTTTAACATAGAATAAGAATAGGGACTCTTTTGGGATCCAGAGAGTATCATATCAATTTAGTTTTGCTTTAAAAACAGGTGAAAACTTGTTTTGTCTGCTTAGAAAGTTGAAGTACAGTACTTTTGTAGTTTCACTATCACCAGACGCCTCAAAACTACAGGCCGCAATTCTTAATGCATCGTCTTGAATCTGTGTATACTAATTGTTTTCTTATACCCTAATGATGTTCCCTATTGTTTTTGGTGCGTGCCCGACCCTCAGGGACAGAGAGCCACGCTCAATTTTTGTATGCTTCAGTTTATTAACTACAATCCACAATTCTTGAGGGATTGTCTTGAAGTTGTGCATACTTATTCCTTATACCCAAAGAATGATCGCTATTGTTTTTTTGTGCATGACCAACCCCACGGGGCGGAGCCACGCCTATGTTTTCTTTTTGTGTTAGTGTGTTTTGATCATCTTGAAATTTTTTCATACTTATTTCTGATATCTTTAGGATGACCGCTATTATTTTTGGTGCATGCCCGACCCCCAGGGGCACAGCAGCGCCCATTGTTTTATGTTTATCGCCTAGGGGCCGCAATTCTGAATGGATCATCCTGGGGTCAGGCATGCACTAAAAGTTCAGAATTGCAGCTTGTGGACGATAACACAAAAATCTGGTGTTGCTGTGTCCCTGGGGGTCGGGCATGCACCAAAAATAATAACTGTCATCCTTTGGGTATAAGGAATTTATAGGAATATATGAGTAGTTTTCAAGACAATCCATTAAGAATTGTGGCCTGTAGGCAAAACACACAGACACACAAAGAGAACATAGGTGTGGCTCTGACCCGGGTTGATCCGTAGGATGTAAGGAATAAGTATGCAAAGTTTCAAGACCATGCGTTAAGATTTGCGGCCTGTAGTTTTCAGGTGTTCACTTAACTTTCTAAGCAGACAAAACAAGTTTTCCCCGTTCGTGAAAGCAAAATTAAATTGCAACGATGCTCCCTATAGCCAGAATGGGTCTATATTCTTGTTCTACATTATAAGTTGCTCTAAAATGGCAAATATGAGGGGCCTAAGTCTTCCAGAAGTAATTTTAATCTGATTATCAAAGCCCAATATTCTAATTTGTAAAGTGGAATAACCAATTTTTTCTCATATGGGAGGCCAAATAAAAATTACAACAATACAATGTACATCAAAATTGATTGCATATTCGTAATCTACGCAAACATTTACTCTAAATAGACACGTTTGACGGGTTCTAGGTCATTTAGACGTAATTTTAAAATCAATATGAAAAGTCAACAATTTTCATGATAGCCATTAAAACTACATCACCGCACAGATTTCAAGTGCCAATTCAAAATATAAGCCATCAAATACACAAGATGGACTTTAATGTCTGTTATAGTAGGGTAATTGAAATTTCATTATCAAACTTTTTTATATGGCCAAAATTGAAAGTGAAAATGGGTATATTCTGTACGTTTTCTATGTGCATTGAATTTCGAGATTGGTTATTTGGTAAAGTATATATCCCATCGACTCAGAATCTTTTGGAAATTGATAAAAGACAAACTGACATTAACTATGAAAATTTTGGAAGTTGTGTATGCAATAGTGACTTTGCCAGAGACTGGAATTCCTAAAAAAAAGTGAATAGTTCATTTATTCCATATTTTGCCACCTGGTGGCAAGAACTGTGTGAATCGCAAATTGTGTGTGATGCTAAATGCATAATCTGCACTAAAAGTTGCCTTACATTACAAAGTTAGAGAGTTCTACTCCTATTAGAAATGTGAGCTTAAAGCACCCGAAAACCTGAAAAAAATTACCAAATTTATGATCCGTTTGAGTACCCTAATTTCAAATGGCTATATTTCAACAAATTTTCGGCCTAGAGAGGTATAATTTTGGATTTGTTAGCTTTAGTCCATGTACTATGATATATATTTTATAATTTTTTGGGAGGGGGGCATGTTCCCAACTTTCCGAAATTTCGTCCACTTGACATGAAATGACCCTCTATTGTGTGCTTCCATTGGCTAGAAAACTGGATCAGATTTCTCCGGCATTTATGATTTGCAGTATTTACGAAAGAACATCCAAAAACTAGCCAGATGGAAACGAACCCCACGATACACTGTGCATACTGTCTTACACTGATAGTAGTATTTACATAACATAAGTATAATAGTTTTATTTTCCCCTTTTTTCCAGCGTTAGCAGTGCGATTCCTTACAAAAAGATTTATAGGTGAATACGACCAATCAAATGGTAAGTAGCAATGCATGTAGGCTACCAAAATACTGTATTCAACACAATGATTATAATATGGAACACAGTCCCTATTTTAATTTTAAGCGACGTTTCGTCGTGGGTTTTCCCAACGTTATCAAATAGTCTCTATCTATAGCATTCAGGCAAATATTCTATGAATATTAGTCTGGATGGGATGTTTAACGTTTGAGAAAAACTAGGTCACTGGCTAGATTATCCGAACTTCTCCGTTCAGGGCCGGCGGAAGCAATTATTGGTTCAGGGAGGGGGCTACCATCCTAGGTCCTTAGGCGAGGGTGCGGGGGCCATCTAGGCCCCGGAAGCTCTCCGGATTCTGGATCGTCGGAGACGCTTTCTGAACGATTTCTGGCTAATATAATTACTCAGCTATGAATCGAAATTTTATTTCTTTTCTAACTCCCTTATCATGATCTATGTTGGTTTAATCCCTGCGATACTGAACTTAATAATAAATAATAATAACGAATTTATATTGCGCAACAATTCATCCTACTTGGGGATGCTCTAGGCGCATGAAAGTGTTCACGTGTTCACGTGGGTTAATTATAGTGACTAAACAGCCAGGTGTTCACTTACAAACAAGACCAAGGTTGTGAACACTCTAGAGGTCACGGTCTTTTTCCGATTTTGATGAAACTTACAATGTATGTTTATTGCCAAAAGATCTCGGTTACTTTCGATATTGGCGCATATTTGACCGTCACTTCTTGGATTGTGTTCCCTGATTGTACGAACAATCACATTTTAGTTTGTGGACCTTGTAGAAGTAACTACATGTATTTTCATTTGATTGTAAAAACCGTTCAAGTATATCAGGACACAATTTTTATCCGATCTATTTCCCAAAGGTCTCGCTCGGTTCCTTTCGAAGCTGGCATGTATCAACTCTGATTGTAAGAAAATCAGGGTTTTAGTATGGACACTCTAGAGGTCCACAAATTTCATCAAATTTTGATGAAACTTGAAATGTATGTTTGGTTCCTTTCCATATTCGTGCATATCGGATTGTAACTTCCTGGATTATAGCCCCTGATTGTACGAAAAATCGCGTTTTTGGCTTGTGGTTCCTCTAGAGGTTACATTTTTTTTTTATCAGATTTAGAAGGCGTTCGAATATATTACATTTACACCATAATTACGGTTGAGTTCGCATTTCCTGAAAATCGGACCGAATTGCCCGAACTCCCCTAAAAGCATGTAATACTCCGGTTAGATCTAAATTTTAAGGCCACCTGCAGATTTCGCTAAGGTCACGAGATGTAAGCAGAGCTAGCGCCAACCCAAACCCAAGATCTAGCCCTTACCCTAACCCATAATCCTCGGCAACAATCACGTGCCCTAACACTGTTTACATCTCGTGGCCTTGACGAAATCTGTCGGTGGTTTTAATATTTAGAATCTGACCGTAATACCCAGGTTGTACAGTATCCAGCGGTTCGAATTTTCTATCCAATTTTGATGAAACTTAAAATATATATTTATATCCGAAAGATCTGGGTTCCTTTCGATATTGGCGCGTATTGGACCGTAACTTTCTGGACGACTCCCTGATTGTACGAAATATCACATTTTTTTAACTCTAGAGGTCACAATTTGTATCTTATTTTCAAAACTGTTCAAATATACCACCGCTACACCATAATTATTTCCTCAAAATCGGACCGAAACTTCCCCGTCAAATAGCCAGTCACCTTTACGTAAATAGTATAATAAAAGCATGTAATGTTGTGGACCATCTAGAGGTCACAATTTTTACCGATTTAGATGAAACTTAAAACGAGTATCACAGTTCTTGGGTGAAGTTTGTTGACCTTTCACGATAAAACTTATGAAATATGTACGGATTTTGAAGCTCTCCCGGGGGCTAAAGTTGTTGTTCAAATCTGATGAAACTTAAATATATTACGGACCAAAAGATCTTAATTGAGATGATAAGCCCTATTTATTTTACCTCTTCCCCATCCATTTCTTGCAAAATGTAGGCATATCTTGAGTGGCAACCGCTTGTTTTAACTGGCCATAACTGATAGCAGTGAATTATTCGATGGATAAGGGACACAAGGAAAGAGTATAAATAAAATTCTATCCATTCGTTTTTCTACTTACCTAATATTTCATAGATGGACTTGAAATGAAGATCAGCCCTCAGTTATCTAATCGGTATAGAGCATAGCAGGGTTTTGTTCTTTTGAAAGTCTACGTTCTAGAAGTCTCGCGTCTATGTTAAAATCAAGCCTCTTTGTTTTTAATAGAATAGTTACTTGTGTGTAATAACCCGGAGAAAAGAGTACTTGCGGCCAAATTATTAATCCTAGTTTGTCGTCACAATACATGTTTTTTTTATATAATGCATGAATTATGGGATTTATTTTGGAAAGGGGCACAACTCTTTCTTGACTTAAGGTAAACAGTTTCATTGCTCATGCGTAAGCGGGAGTTTGGCGTTTTTATGTGGCTGATTATCCAATAAACTTTCGCCACATGCGGAAAACTGACCTATACCGTCCATACGTTAAAAACTAATATTCTGAGTTCTCGAGACTAATTAAAATAGTGATTGTATTCCATATTATGTAATTTTTTGTTTATTACGTATATCAATTGCTAAATGCGGCATAAAGAAAATAAAATACTACATTGCTGCGGTATTGGTTTTTTTTTAAATGCCCAATAAGCATTTGCATAATTTTGTTTCAGATGATAGATAATAGCAAGTGCAGTCTTTAAATAATCCCCTGATTTTCCAGCTGTTCTTTATTTCTTTGCATATTTTGGTTCGTTTTCGTAAACACGCCATCTCACGCCCGATCGCAGACTCTAATTCGCCAAGCTACATTACGTTTTTGAACTTAAAAATATGAATAAAACATCGAAAGGCTTGCTTTAGCTTGTTCTGAAAGACCGTTTTAACAAGATTATTATCTTAATATGAAGCTGTCGATGTTTCACTTCGGCATGTCTGTATATTTTAAAAAATATTACTGCATTCTCATGTGGCCAATAAAATCCTTTTGCTTGGCATTTCTAGAATGTTTTTTTTTGTAACGATCTTTGATCACATTTATCATTTAAAAAATGTTTCGCTTTATTGCGTTAGGGAGTGAAAATATTCTGTTATATATGGAGTATATATGCACGTCATGTGTTAACCATTTATCACCATTTGTATTGTAACTGATATAAATAATGAATGATTAACGAGGAACTTACCGTTCTATTACACTATTTAGTATACTTTTATCTTTAACGCTAATTGCATAATTAGATTTAAAGGTGTAAATGTTGGCAATAAAATTGGTAACAATAAATATCTTGTACTTTTTAGATGCCAAATATAAGTGTACCACATGCATTGAAGGTGAAACCGTGGCCTTTGAGCTGCTTGACACTCGATCAAATGTAAGTATTTCTTCGTAGACTGTACATCGATTAAAGGGGTAGTACCAGATGTATACATACGAATGTGTTTAAGGATGCAAAAGTTTGTATTTTGAACTGTCAAAACACGGCATTTAGGTCTGTTTTTGTTATGATACGATCGAAGTCAATTCTCGCGATCGATTTCTCCAGCGTCTGGATAATCGAGATAACTCTACTCTTTTGCTTTTTATACACCCACATTGAAATGTGGACGTAAATTGTCGTCGCCCCCGCCCGTCCCACGGTCCGGCGTCCGCGCACAATTGTTATTGGACGCTCTAGAGGCTAAAGTTTATATCCGATTGAATTTAAATTTATACACAATGTTTAAGGCCATGAGACTAAGAAGCCTATTGATTTTCACCGATTTCCGATAATTACTGCCAAAGTTATGGGCCATGATCACTTTGAAAAATTTTGTGGACGGACGCTCTAAGGGCTAAAGTTAATATCTGATTAACTTTAAATTTATACACAGTTTTTAAGGTCATCAGACGAAGAAGCCTATTGATTTTCAACGATTTCCTATAATTACTGCCAGAGTAATGTCCCTTGATCACTTTGAAAAATCTTGTGGATGCTTTAGTGATCACAGTTATCATCTGATTGATTTTATATTTATACACCGTGTTTACGGCACCCTCCCATTTCGCCTACGTCCCATTTCGACTACAACTTATAACAACATGGGACGTAGTCGAAATCTTTTCGATTGACTTTAGATTGATATACGGAGTTTAAGGTCTTGGGAAGGACAAGTATATTGATTTTCAATGATATCTGATAACTTGAACAGCTAAATCCAAAATGTTTTGTATCCTAAACGTTAGCATGGGCCAAACAAATTCTAATGATTTTCTGATAATTACATAATGAGTTGTTACTCTTAATTAGATTTTAGTGTATAATAAATTTTTCATTACTGACAAAAGTAAAAATTTAGCTGCCGTGGGCGTATGTTTCGTTGCTTGGCAACCTATTTTTATGTCTGTGGTTTTTCAATAATTGGGGGCTTTGTTGGCCGAAAGGTGTAACGCGTGCGCTTTATATCATAAGGTATATCATTGAGTCAAGTAGCGTGGTTTCGATCCCACGCTTATACGTGAAAAAAAGGAGGGTCGCCTGTCTAACCCCGTGTGTTTCTCCCACTGCTAAAGACACCTACGCACAAGCGAATTATTGAAATACAATTTTACAATACGTTAGTCCTGAAATGACCTAGTGTGTGTTGAGTGGACGTTAAACCCCATTTCTCGCACTCTCTGTTCAACATAAAACTCGAATTATGTGAGAATTCGTGTAGTTTGAGCAGGGCCTTATAGAAAGTGAAAGGTGTGCTATGCCAACAATGTTAAGATAAAAGTGTCAGTTGTTCACCGCGGTTAAATCTATTAGCTCAACATAAATAAACAGTAAAAGTCAAGTAGGTGTTATATATGTTAGGAGCGATAAAAAAATTTACATGGGGTAATTAAGAGAGATTCTTAAAAAAAAAACCGAGTTTATCCATATATTTTTTACATGAAAATACTTTCACAGATAGGGGTGGCTAAGTGGGTAAGACGCTGTCTCGCTAGCCTGGAGGTCGGGTGTTCGATCCCTGCATTGGCCAAGAAAGTTCACCCAGATTTTCCTGCGTAGTCCCCCCCCCCCTTGTCAGTGATGCAGGACGGAGGGCCTGACAAGTACAGCTGTCTAGTCGTTCGGATGAGACGAAAGCCGAGGTTCCGTGTACACATTGTCGTGCACGCTAAAGATCTCTCGACAATTGTAATTCGATATAAGAGTAGGCCGTAGTACCACTGTCCGGGCAAAATTTCCTTCATAGCACACTGTATGGCGTATGCCCGTCTCCATTAGCTCAGTTCGGAGCAGAACAATATAGACGTTAAACCCCATTTAAATTCATTTCATTTCACTTTCACAGATCGTCGATTCAAGTCAAATCTTACGTCTTCCACGACATTCCTACGAAAGCCCAGAATGCTCATTCCAAATTCCATATGCGAAATTCCAAATTCATGTCTTACCAATAGAATATCAAATTGGCAGCCCCCCTCAATTAAACAAATTAGAATTTAAATAAATTGTAATTTTACACAACTAATTATTGCTAGTTTACCTATCTGATGCCTGGGCCTACGAAAGCCCAGAAGACTCATTCCAAATTCCAAATGCGAAATTCCAAATTCGAAATTCCAAATTCCAAATGCGAAATTCCAAATTCCAAATTACAAATGTGATCGTATAATGTGGTCATATATTGTCGTCGCCCCCGTCGGTCCATCCGTTCGTCCGTCCGCAATTGTGGACGCTCTGGAGGCTAAAGTCAATAGCCGATTGACTTTAAATTTATACACAGTGTTTAAGGTCATGAGACGAAGAAGCCTATTGATTTTCAGCGATTTCCAATGATTACTGCCAGAGTTATGGCCCTTGATCACTTCAAAAAATCTTGTGGACGCTCTAGAGGCTAAAGTTAATATATGATTGACTTTAAATTTAAACACAGTGTTTAAGGTCATGGGGCAGGCGAAGAAGCCTATTAATTTTCAGCGATTTCTGATTATTACTGCCAGAGTTATGGCCCTTGATCACTTCAAAAAATCTTGTGGACGCTCTAGAAGCTAAAGTTAATATCCGATTGACTTTAAATGTATACATAGTGTTTAAGGTCATGAGACGAAGAAGCCTATTAGATTTCAAATCTAATAATTTCGAACGGGTGTTTATCCGGCCCAGGCATCAGATAGGTAAACTAGCACTTATTGGTTGTGTAAAATTACAATTTATTTAAATTCTAATTTGTTTAATTGAGGGGGCCAATTTGTCATTTGATTCCTTTGATTGGTAAGACATGAATTTGGAATTTGGAATTTGGAATTTCGCATTTGGAATTTGGAATTTCGCATTTGGAATTTGGAATGAGCCTTCTGGGCTTTCGTACTTTCCCCTTCTGTAGTCGCGATTAGGTGTTATGTGTAGGATAATGCACGGGACTGAGGTTATGCTGGGGAAAGAAAGACTGAAGAAAAAACCCGAGTAAAAGAAAAACCTCGGCCTCCCGGCCTCGGGTTTTCTTTAACTTGCTTATAAACCGTCTATGTTTACATGTACGCAAAATGAGAATATCCCAGAATTCCCATAAGAAAAACCTTAGATCATGTTTTCTTATGAAAAAACCTACCCTGGAAGAATAACCTGTTACAGGTTTAAAGAAAAACTTTCAGAAGAATAACCCCAAATTCCCCTGTATATATCCAAACCCGCCCCGACTTTCAGACCTCAAGTTATTCCGGGCATAAAATATACCCCAAAGATCAAAGAAATTTACCTTTACAGGTTTATAAGCTGTGATAAAACAACAAGTGGTTTGAAACTATGTACACTTAAAGGTGGGGTATAACAAACTATGTGAGGGCGGGGCTGAGGATTAGATCGTAAGATCTCTCATTGAGTCAGGACAAGTGTTGTCGTTTCGATTCTAAGCGTGTACGTTATAATTAGGAGTAAGGTCGCTTGTCCAACCTTGTTGGCTTTCTACGTTTTTTTCTAGTTCCCTGTCACTGCTATAAAAAAAACTGTAAGCACAAGCGAATTATTGAAATTAAATTGTTAGTCCCCAAAAGGCCTAGTTTGTATCGAGTGGGCGTTATACTCTATTCGGATTGAACGAATAACCGAGGTCCCGTGTACACATTGGCGTCCTCATAGCTTACTGTATGGCGTACGCCCGTCTTCATTAGCCCAGTCGGTTTAAAACTTGTAGGACGGACATAGCAGTCTTATCATTAGTGATATGTAATACATACATCAAAGAGGTTGATTACATCATACAACTGTTTTTATTATAACCGTAACTTCTATATTTCTTGGCTAGGTACCACAAACATTAATACAAATAAACAACTAATTAAATGATGATGGGTTATCATTGAAACGGTATATACCTCCTACAACTTGATAAATTGGACGGAAAAATCTTGCATCAAAAATCAACTAGACGTAGTAATAAGATCCGTATACATCGTAAGAAATAATATTAGTTTTCTACGAACAGCTAGACCATGTAATGGATTAGAAACTGTCTATAGAAACAGCGGCGTCAGGTGTTTTATATTATAAACATTTACCTTATGACGTAAGTTTAGAAATAAGTCTATAGTTATAAGCTGATTACCCGCACGGTTCAATTTTGTGTATCGCCTACGCGGATACATTGTAGTAACCCAAGGACGTAGCCATGTCCTGGTCTTAGGGGGCGGGGAGGGGAAAATATTCTGTCTTACGGTAAAACATAGTTAGTTACCGTAAAAAAGGCAAAGGAATTATTAAGTTAACCGAGGTATAACTCGTCTACACATAATTGTTTTTTTACGATTTTTCATTTTAAATGGTATTTTCTTAGAATTTTAATGTTTGTGCAAAAAATACTTTTTGACTACTTTTAGTAGTTTGGCTGTGTAAAACTTTAGAAACATCCCCGCCCACTGGTTTCAGTCAATATAGATATATTATATAGAGAAGACACTAAATTTTTTGGAAGACTGAAAAGCTCTTGACATATTAGGAATCGTACCAACCACGATGCATCTACCTGCCAGATTTCCAATAGCGGCCTATCATTTCAAAATAACTGGAGCAGGGCCTAGAAAGTGACCTATTAGGTCTTAACGCGTTATAGGATAGCGTATATAGGGCCTACAACGGAATATGCAACTTGTCTATTTGCTTGATTTGCGACGCCATTTTAATTTGTGTAGCTCAGAAACTCTTTGCTGCCCCACTCCTAGTATACATCCATGTAACCCACCAATCCACGCGATATATGGATATTTCATATTTTTCTTCGTTTCAGAATGATGATAATGGGACGCGTGACGATGTTTTACGATGGGCAGACGGCTTTATGTTAGTCTATTCAGTAACAAGCAGAGACTCATTTGATGCACTGATAGAAATACAGAAAAAGATAGAAGAAACGAAGAAAGGTGTCCATGTACCAATCAGTGTTGTAGGAAATAAATCTGATTTAGCTCATATACGACAAGTTACACAAGATGAAGGTAAATACCTAACTGTTTACTACATAAACAGATTGGATCTACAGACCATAAAACGCTTTGGTTAAATTATGAATTACTTAAATTTGTAATACACCTTAATTGAAGAACCGTCGATTACACTTGACCTGACTTACCCTCTGTTTAGCCAATGAAAAGATGCTTTTCCTTTGCCTTGGCAATAATAATTTTATCTAATGACGTTAGCCTAAATCAGACTACAAGCTTTTCAGTCGGTCTGTCTTTGCAAAGCTCTACCACCAAGTAAATTGAGTGAACTATTATATAAGACTGATGTTAAGCTGTAACACTTGCCCCCCCCCACCCCCGCCAAAAAAACCCCAAAACAACCACATCAAAATAAATTCTGTACAAAATCAATTATATTTTGGTGAACCTCAAGGAATGTGCTTTTTATTTCAGGAGTGAAACAAGCAGCTGAATTTGGTTGTTCTTTTCTCGAAGTATCGGCATCAGAAGATGTTCTTAAAGTCACGGAAGCTTTCCACGTGTTGTGTAAAGAGGTTGTGGAATTCAAAAGGCGTTCTAGAACTTTCTTAGATAGAGTTTTCGGGTTAAAGAAATCGTGACCATGGTTGCTGTAACAAGTTCTATGCAATTCTCAAGTGTCACGCGCTTTACAACGACGCGTTAACCATTTAGTAAAAATACCGTCTGCAAAAAAAAAGACTAGAATAACAAGAGTTGCCTCCCTTTAATAACTTGGCGTTGGAAGGCAACAAAGCACTCCGTGCAGTAAGCTACATTTCTGTGATGCCATTCGGAACATAATTAGGTGGTGCCTTTCTTTGATGCAAAGACTAGTTGTTAAATATCTAGATTGTATAATTTATTGAATAACATTTATTTGTATATTTTTGTTTATTAATTCTCTTGAATTATTGTGTATAGACTTCGGCTTTTTGCTCGATGATAACAAACCATTGTCTTTGTTGGATTTTTGAGAATTCAACGATTTCATGGGATTATCGTTTTTTTAACAATTAATAATCATTTTTACTTACTCATAGATGTATAACTTAACCAATCTTCGTACAGACTTTCTCACCAATGTTCAAATAAAAGAAATCTAACAAACAGTGTAGTTGTTTCCCTTGGATAAAATCATGCAACTTGAACTTATCACCTGAGAGAAATGAAATGAAAGGAAATGGTGTGAACTGTGAAGACCCCATCAGTCGTACAGAAAAAATTGGAGTCCTACTTTGTCGGTTTCCAGATATCACTAAAAAGTATTGAAAAAATTCCAAAACAGACGAAATGAATAAATTTTGAAAAATGAAATAAGCAAAATATTAGTATTTCAAGTTTGATTTTTGATTCAAATATTCTTCCAAGTATTAAATTTTGAAAAATGAAATAAGTGAGATATTAGAATTCCGAGCTTTATCTTATCTCAAAATATTCTTCCACGTACTCATTTGTTTCCAGAGATATCATCGTCCGTAGAGACTGAACTTATTGCTAGAAAACCCATTTTTGTTCAAAATGACTGTCACGGTCGTATTTTATTAGTCATGATTATCGGTCGCCCAAACTCCTAACTTAAAATCACGACATTAACAAACATTGATAAGGGCTGCGTTGTTAGATCTATTGCGACATATAGATATAGTTGGAATAATGATAATATTTTTATTGTAAGCAATTAGATGACGCCCCAAATTAAAACCCCAAGAACAAAAAAAACCTCAAAACCTCAGTAAACAAAACTCTTTGTTACTATTTTATATATTACCATATGATTCAAGTATAAATTATACTATTTTCAAATAATTAATAGACAAAAAAAAAAAAAAAAAAAAAAAAAAAAAATTACCGTTACTCACTTCATATCTAATGTCTATATATATATAAAAAAAAAATCTTTGTAGGCCTACAATTGTTTGGCTATTTCGTGTTTTAGTTTAAAAGTTTTTAAATACTTTTAAAATTTGACAATACTTTTTGTGACAATTCTCAATGGTTTATGTTATCCAAAAAATACCATAAAACTACGAAATTCCAGCGATTTAGTTCATCGATACGCATTATTTCCATTGAAGCCTGCGAGTACATCAAATGCCAAGGTCACGAAAGCGACAGACAAATTCAAGGCCAACCCACTGATACATTTCAAAACGAATAATACGCAATAAACTTATTTATTTCTCTGACCATGTGCAGGCATTGCTACAACGTATGAAACTCTCCTCATTAGTTCAACTTGGCAACAGTTTTCAGTTCCGAAGCGTTTATGCGTACACCCTAAGTGCCCTCGCCGGAATTGTGCACTGCATTTTAAGTTTCAATCGATCTTCGTGAAACGCATAAAATTTAAAATTTCATAATGATTTTAGTTTAAATCTATTTTAGTGATTTTAGTTTAAGTTTTTGTGAAACAGGGCCCAGTTATACATTGTGGCTCGCCTAAACTGTCTACCTGTACTGCACGTGCACACAAATATACTAAACAGCATCTGGCGTGTCCACCGCGAGTATCAATAACAGCGTCTGTACATAGAGTGGACCAGACGACTGATGAACGCCAATGGCACCTGGAACCACACTCTCAGAAAAGTCTGGCGCAATACATCAGTTGTGTTTGGTCTCGGTACGACCTTATTAAGTCTCCTCTGAATTTCATCCGAAAGATGTTCAATTGGGTTTAAGTCCGGACTAAGGACTGGCCAGTGCATAACGTTGACACCGTTCTGCTGTAGAAAGTCCCGAGTAACTCTGGCGTTGTGTGCTCGGGCGTTGTCATGCTGTAAAACGTTATTCGATGACGTGCGAAATGTGGTATGACGTGGGGTCTGAGAGCTTGATCGATGTAGCGCACTGCCGTGATGCCGCCCCTCTCCCTGTACCAAGATTTTGGAACACCACTCTCTGGTTCAGGCCGATTCCACCCCAAACCTTTTGCTTGGATCTCCTCATGAGTCTCGTTCCATGACACATTGGTCAGAATAACGCTGGCCACGTCGAAGCCATATTTTGGTCCTGCCATCTGCAGTTGATACGCAATACCGACACTCACCTGTGAACAGAACAGGTCCCATTGCCTGTGTCGCCAGTTCTGGTGTTGTTGGGCAAACTGTAGACGTTTACGTCGATGGCGAGAGGTGGGGATCGGCCCACGGTAAGGTCTACGGCAATGGATGTTCTCTCTGGTGCGACGTCGGCGCACTCTATCGGTACTGATTTGTCTTTCGTGTGTTCCCATTGTCTGACGTGCTGTCTCGGGGATCCTGCACGTGCTGTCGCACAACATGGCGGTCTTGTTGCCTTGTGGTAACCCTTGGTCTACCAGTTCGGGGGCGATCATCCGTGGCGTTGGTGGCCCGAAAGCGTTACTGAAGCCCGTAGATGGTCCGAACATTGACCTGGAAGTGATTGGCAACAGCTTGGGCAGTGTGGCCAGAGTCGAGTCTTCCAAGCGTCTGGTTCCTTTGAGCCGTCGTGAGTCGTGGCACGCTGCTGACGTTGTAGTGTGAATGATTCAACCAGGTATGGGGGTGCATTTTATAGGGCTGGTCCCGCTGAACATCCCGTGCAGCATAAGTTACATGAAAGTCATGGAGAACACATTGCCATCTCAGAAGGTTGCGTTTTTGGTAAGATTTCTTCGGTTCAATTCTGTGTTTGGGAAGGAGCCTTATCGCTCAGGTAAAGTTGGAGATCACAAATATACAATAAAAACATTTGGCAAGTTTTATGCAATGCGTCTATTCAGAGTAACATACCAACCTGACGTTTCTTTTGCTGCTTAGTATAGTTGCAATATGACTTGTTTGGGAGATGGGTTATGACACTTGGACTGGAGGACTCGATACTGCCACCTGTTACTTGGATGAGTGAAGTTACTAAACTAACGGACAAAAGAAAGTTGAAACTCCGTGTACATGTCCCATAAAATAGACAAATACAGTTTTGATTTAAGATGAATATTTTATTGAGAGGAATAATGTTCTGATGTCTGGAGCAAAATCAAAACATTAACAAAAGTGTACTGTCCACAAGACGGGATTAAAAATCAATGGGGTCTAGATAAGTAATAACACACACGAGTCAAGGAGAAATGAAATGAAATGAAATGGGGTTTAACGTCTTACTGTTCTGCTCTGGCTGGGCTGCGGGCATACGCCATACAGTGTGCTATGAGGAAATTTTGCCCGGGCAAGGGCACTATGGCCTACTCTTATATCGAATTCCAACTGCCAAGAGATCTTTTACGTGCACGCCAATGTATACACGGGATCTTGATTTTTCGTCCCACCCGAACGATTAGACAGCTGTCCTTGTCAGGCCCTCCGTCCTCGACCACTATGAACTTTCTAGGCAAATGCAGGGATCAAACACGCGACCTCCAGGCTAGTGAGCCAGCGTCTAACCCACTTAGCCACCGTAACCCCCCCCCCCCCCCCCCCCGAGTCAAGGCGAAGCTCTCGAAAGTCCTTATGCAGTCTGATCATTTGACAAAATTAATAGCGTGGGCGGTTGCCGTGGTCATCGATACATGCCAAAACGGGTCTCCTCATGGATGTCGTCAACCGTCTTAATGCACACCCCCCCCTCCCACCATAAAAAATAGATATACATTGTCCGTAAATTTTACAGTATCCCTGAGAACATTTCCCGGCCCCCTCGTTGCTCTGGGCTAGTTACGGCTCTGCTTGCAATAAAGCTTGCTCAAGCTGATGTCGGTTTGCGGGAGGTGTCAGTTGCCGACCAAGACGTTACCACTGTGTGAACGTTAACATTTTTCAAATAATCAGGAACCAGTCTGGCGGTATTTGTTCGGACATTATCATGCTGCAAAATGGTAATCTTGTGTTGTTGCACTGCCACGGGTTGCAGCAGTTCATCTCTGTATCTTTGGCCAGTCGGGTTTCCACGGATAACAAGCCTTTTTCTCTGCTGGTCACAAATCCCTCCCCATATCATAACGCCATCTCCACATAAGGATGAACATCTTGAAGTGTCGAGTGGTCTAACGCGTGCGCTTTTAATCATGCCCACCTTTTTGCTTGGTGATTGTTATTGACTTGACTTGACTTGTTTTTGAATCGAAGAAAAAAGGTTTGAATTTACATTATATTCAAGGTTTTGGTGAATATGCATGATTTTGAGGCGGAAGGATAACAATGTTAAGAGGTTGGTTACGTTGAAATGAAGGGCGGACAGTTGAATGTTTAGGTTTTGTGCTACATCTAGTGTGTGTATCTCAAGATTTCGATGTGAACCTCATAGTACATGCATATGTTGCTCTTCCGTTTTCATAGTCCCGTTCGTTGCAACACGTTTTCCTCATTTCATTTCATTCTCTATCTGTGTTGGAAAGTGTTCAACCCAACGAAAATTTGGCAAAAGAGTAGAGCCGTTCAAAGAGACGAGAATTAACATTAAAATCAACTGTAAAATTAATGGTATACTGTTGCCACATAAAATAATGAATAAAAACAAAATTCAAATATTATCGAATTGAGAAATATGCATTAAATATAATTCTACGGGCTAATTAACTTTCATATTCCTTTAAAATGGTAATTTTATCTTTCGTGGATAAAAATAATCCAGACTTATTGGGTTTTGTGGGCTGTTTATAATAATATATTGGTAAACGCTGGAATTAGCTTAGAATGAAGCTTCGATAATTGTGCTGATTAGATTGTATGATTTATGTCATCCACAAAGGGTCGCTAAGAGCAAATTATCTTTAATTGACGACTTATAAAAAGCCAGATTACACAAAAGAGAGAATATTACTGATTACCTTGATTAATTATCTGTCAGATTTCCTTATCAATAATAACAAATAGTCGATGTATAATATTTAATTTTATTAAAAATCTATCATACATTGAGATAAGAATGGAAAGCTCTATGAAATTAATTATGCAATATGTTCTCAAAAGATGTTTACATGTATTAATATTACAGTATGATAAGACGCTCACATTAATGTTATATATACGATTATCTGCTGATCTAGAAAACAGATTTTAGCAAATAAATCTTAGATGTATAAATATTTGATTATCGGATAATGCAAGAAAATACCATACGATGTTTAGTCATGCGACAACGCTTTGAATCC